TTTAGCCTGTATAACTGTAATAAACCACACAATAAATACTTTTATAAAGTATTGCCCCATACATTTAAGAAATAATAACTGTATTTTATATATTGCTTGTTGTGGGAAGAAGAAGGGAGAAGAAGGATGAGGAATGAGACACCAGACTGATATAAAGATAGACTATTAGATATTCGTATCAGCAAGTTTGAGGTTGGTTTGGTATTTTTCCAGAAGTCTAAAAACTAAATGCAATTCTTAGATAATGTAACTGAGTATTTAGTCTTCAGTCAAATGGGTAACCCGGTTATCAGTATTGTCTAAACTTTAGGTTGGTCATGCACCGTTGTACTCAGCCGGTTTAAACAATGTAGCTGATATTAAGGGCTTCTTTCTGGTCAGCAACAAAAATAGAGTCTATAAACAGCATCTGTAAACCTCCTTAGCTTTCAAGATGTAACAAGCAAATAAATGACTGACAGAAACATGATTAGTAGAAACGAAATGAAATGAAACGAGAAGAGAACAATGAATACCTAACTCCACTCATATGGAAGTTAAATAAAGTTCTCATGGGAATAGGACTGGACCCATAAGCAGCAAATGTGTACCAGAAATTGCTGATCCGAATGTTGATTGCAAGCTAAATTCAATTCTGTTGGGATTCAGTAAGTACTTAGCAGTCCAGTCCAGTACAGAAAGGATATCAGACCATTAAGATACTTAATGAAGAGAAGTGGTACCTCCTGATAGGGAAACTAATAGCAAAAATTTTGTTATTTCAGTTGCTAGTTATGAAAACCAACAGAAAGAATGAAGAAAAAAATAGTTATCATTGCATATTGTGCTTAAGGAATTAAACATGCATATAGGTATCTTGAATAACAAAGTAAAAATAGGAATAAGAAACAGTTCTTGCAAGTTTTTAATAAACTTTAACATTTTTAAAACTCTATAATAACATAAATTTTATCTTTCTAAACATGTCTGAAGCAAACATTTCTGTGGAATCACTAACAGAATTGTTGCAGGTAGAAGCAGAAGTTCTACTTCTTGTACCTAGACATTAACTTTTACACTTACTCATAGTTTGCTGCATACTTTCAAAATATCTTTGGTCTGCAAACATTTCTAATACAGAAAGACCATTTAATTTTACCTATTACTAATGAATATGTTGCTTTCACGTTAAAGATATCCTATTTTAATTAAATTCTCAAATTTTTAAATTATGCAAAGGTTATTTTCAAAGTTATCAAAGTCAGAAAGGCAGTCTTGATGCTAATTTTCTGTTACAAAAAATTAGGAATTCATAGATTCAATAAGTTTCACCGAAGAAAAAACTTACAAGCCTGATGAATACTATTAAACATACAGGCACATTAAAATTTACCAGTCAGACATACTCAAATGGTGTGAAAGACTTCACCACCATATATAAAGCTTGTAGAGAAGAGCTTTTTATTAAAAAAGGTAGCTGAAATATGACCTATTACAAAGCAGGTATCGTATATGTCAGCAAGAACTTGACAGTATAGCTGGTATGTTCACCTTTGTCTAGTTAACGTTTAGCACCATTTGTGAAAGCTTTGAAAAGAGGATCTCATATCTTCAGGCAAAAATATCCCCTCACAAGAATATAAAATAGCACAAGTATATAAGTTGAATGGGGAGCACTGACTTGAAGATTTCCCCCCGCATACCCTGTAGGATACAGAAGTTCATGAAAAATAAACATCCTATTTGCTTTATTTAAATATCTCGCTAGAAGTTTTTGTTGATAGATAAAATATATTGCGTTTCTATATAGAAGAGTTTTCATACTAAAGGTAGCTGAAATATAACTAAGTACATCTCACAAGTATGTGACATTCTATACTTTATACTGGTATCAAACGAAAGTATACCTTACATTTTAAGAAGAAATTTATTATTCTATTACTAATTGCTTAGACATGAATGATATGCTACATCTCCTGAAAAAAAAAAAATAATTGCCTTATGTTATTAAAGTAGCTTTGCAATTCTCTTCTCACATAGTCTTGAGGAAGTCATTCAATAACTTCATGCCTTCCTTTCTCCATCTCTGAAAGTGTGTGTTGAGCTTTTGTTTTCAGTGGGAAAAAATCCTGGGTAATCAATCAACCAAAAAGATTCATTTTCTATAATTAACCATTATTAAATTGAGTAATATTCTTTATATATGGAAGGATCCCTTCACTGCTATACATTAAAAGTGCTACTTTAAGAAATACTAAGAGAGTGCTCATAACCAAAGTGTTAACAGCATTTCTGCAATATATTATGAAATCACACAGGTTTTGGTGGCCTGTAGAATGAAATATTTAAGAATTTGGTAGGGATGCCTATGTAAGGAGTACAGAGGAGGAATACACCTGGAATAATGAGAATAGGGATGTACCTTGAGTAAGTAAGAATTCTTGCCCTTACCAAGGGATATGCAAAATGAAAAGCAGAATTAGATTTAATCTTTTGAAAGATATTCTTACCAACATATTCAAGATAATCTCAGCAGACATTTATTTATGTAAGTATATGCCAACAGCATTATAAATCTTTTGTATTCTACTGAGGTTTTAAATACCTTTAGATTGAAATTTTACATGTATCTAACAGGAAAGTAAGTTTAGTGACTTTTTTTTCAATCAAATTCTATTTATCATAAAAATATGTTAAGGAAAAAAGCCTGTTGGAGCTGCCACCTTCTAAACTCCTTTAAATCAAATTTCAGTATGTGTATCGACCAGTGAATGGTTGTTTTTTTTTTTATTATATACCCCTTTCTTGTGTGTGAAGTACTTGTGTTCTATTAGCATCATGTTAGCCAGGCTGCAATCTTTTATTTTATTATATTATTTTATCTGCTGAACAGGAGCAGCATCTTGTAGAATATATGGCAATGCTCAGAATAGCATTACTGTGAATCACCTACCGTCCACACAAATACATCATCTTTAATGCCTACACAGAAATAGATATTCATGATACAGCCTAACAAATCTCTGAAAGATGCTACCACCAAGGATGCTCTTCAAGTTAAAATTTCCACAGAACTTGGTGTTGAGCAGTAGGATTCTTGTGTAGCCATGTGTAGAAATGGATAGCTGATCTTTCCCCACATATATGACTCTATAAACCTGAAGGTCCTTAGGAAGCAGTAAGTCTTCTTTCTAGCCTCAGTATCTTAGAGTATATTTAACTTGCATTACATTGCAGGCTTATGTAAAAACAACTCTAAGCACACATTTTCCCAGCAAAGTAGCACCTGGAAAAAAGTACTGGAAGAACTCCCTAAGAGTGCTGTAATATACTTTTTGATAATCTCTTTATTTACAGAGAGTTTTTTTCCCCCACAAGGTAAAGACCTAAACTTTCTCTGTCTTTTATTAATTTCAGTTTAGCCCTTCAATACCCATCTATATTCCAGTTTAAACCATTCAGAAATGTTATTTTATTCTGATGTTACCATTTAATATGTTTCTAACACAGAGTTAAATCTTCATTTTGTGTAAATCACCAATCTGCACTTAGTGCAAAAGGAATAAACCATTTTACACTATTTCAGTTTATCCTAAAGTCTAATCTTGGTGTTATACATCATAGCATGATGAAGCAAATTTAGTAAACTACGAGCAAAGCACCCTGCTCGCAGACTTTGATATTTCAAACTTATTCTTTCCATATACTTCCTTTTCTATATTCTTCTGAGGTAAGGAGGCAGTTGGTACAAGGTGCAAAAGGAAAAATAAAATGTGAGAGCCTTTAAATTCTGGGAAACACGTCTAATCGTGATGAGAGAAGCAGGCAGAGAGAGTTATTTCAGGAAAAACATGTTCAAATTAGCTCAGCAATTTCATGGCAAATCTCCCTTAGTTTTTAAATTAGAAGAAGGAAGCAGAAATCAATTTAGAATATGAATTTGTAACCTTTTTGTGCAGGTTTATATGTTCTTGTAATTAATAGTTTACTTTATATTTACACACACATTCAGCATAACACACTTAGTGTTTAAGACTTCTGTGAGTTTTCAAGGTTACATTCCTGATTTTTTTCGTGCACGGTGAACAACTCAAGGCGGTACTTAGGAACACATGGCTTTCAAAATGTCCATATTTTAAAAAATGACTGCAGGAACGACACAGAAACCAACATCTGAATACATTTTTTTTTTGTTTAATTATCTGTCCTTCAGGAAATTTTCTGTTATGTGATCAGCAACTCCAAAACTTACAGCACAAATTTACCATGACTTTTGCAGAACTTTCAGAATAATTATCTGTATTTAATTTAATATTGTTTCAAAGCTCCATGCTTAATCTTATTTTCTTCTTAATTAACTGAAATGTTTACTCGCTTTAATTGAAGCATACACTGACAACTAGCTACATTTAATTTCCTCAGAAACAGATAAAAGCATTGTTACACACCTATGTTTTCTTCTTATTTAACGGTTTCCTCTGAGGAAACCAATACATTAATAATACTATTTACTGATTTTTCAAACTAGAAAATAGTAGGTCATACGTGGATTAACTTTATCTTGGCATTTGACAGTAAACCTCACTCTGAAACATTTTACTAACAAAAGAGTTTTTGAAATGTCTGGCTAGGCAATACCCAAAACATAGACTGAAAGGACTTTTTAATTCAGTATTTCATTCTGTTACCTTACTTCTGTCAGTTAGGTACTAGACTGAAAATTATAGAGTTCTAATCATTGAAAGATAACTTGGTAAAAGATTATTTTACTTCTTGATAAAATCATTAGAAATATCTTTCTGATATGTACATCAACTAAGACAACCAAGATGCTAGCATACATATGTACAAGGCAATGTAAAAGATATAGCTAGTTAAATGGAATAGAGAGGATAGCCACTGAGCACAAACCACTGGAG